ATATAATATATAATATATAAATATATTTATATTAAAATAAAAATATATATATAGTAATATTTTATATTATATTTTATATATAATACAAATATACATTATCAATAAATTATATATAATATAAATTATATTATTTATATTGTTAATATATATTTGGAGGGATATTATAGAATCCATAAGGTTTTAAAATTAATCAAACTAAGACAGAGTATATAGAGTACATGTTTAGTAGTAATAGGAGTAGATACGATGAAGTAGTTAAGATTGATAGCTATGAAGTACAAGAAATACCACACTTTCAATATATTCGGTCGATTATCTAGGTAAATAGAGAGATTGAGGAAGATGTCGCATACATAATTAGAGCTGGGTGGACGAATTGGAGATATGCAACTGGAATTTTATTCAATTGTCGCATATCAATGAGGCTGAAGGCCAAGTTCTATAGGACAGCGGTGAGACCAGCTTTGCTCTATGGGGCGGAATGTTGAGCGGACAAAAAACAATATATCCATAAAATGAGTGCAGCATAAATGATGATGTTGAGATGGATGAGTAGCAATACAATATAGGTGTAGCATCAATAGATGGTAAAACGAGATAGAGTAGACTTAGGTGAGATGGTTATGTGTGGCGCCGACCAAGTACAACACCTATTAGGATGTGCGAGTGAGTTCAAGTGGAATGATTGAAATTGGCAAAGGGTAGGCCCAAAAGGACGTGGTTAGAAATAGTCCGAAAATATATGGGGACTTATGGCCTAATTGAGAATATGATATTTAATAAAGCAGATTGGAGAACTAGATTTCATATAGCCGACCTCAATTAATTGTGAAAAAGGCTAAAATGATTATGATGATATTGTTAATATATATTTGTTATCAAACACAGGTACCCAATACTTCTTTAACATTCCAGTAAGTTATCAAATACAGTATTCAGAACTTTAAACTTCCAAGAAGATAACATTCTGCTTCCCAAGACAGAATAACTTTTTTTTTTTCAAAGAACGTTTATATTCCAGCAAACAATTGCATGCTTAAAATTCTTTCTCTCGTTTTTCGTTACGTCTTAATCTCCTTTTCTTAAAATATGTCATTTAATTCTCCTTCCATCAACGCTTACAAATCTCTTATCCTACTACCACAATGTCTTGTTTCTAGGGCACTGTGAAGCCAAACAAACTTCTAATCCGGAAAATTCTGAAATTTTAAAACTATTTGGAAATTAAAAATGAGAAATTATATTATAGGACCCTTCCCCACCCATATGTGTAAGACCCCAAAAGATCACCATTAAATTTGGCACGGATCTATATAAAAAGTCAAGTTCTACACCCATGTGATAACTTTTCTAGAGATCCATGCCAACTTTAATGGTGATCCTTTGGGATCCTATACACATGGCTGGGGGAGGGTCCTATATGATCATTACTCATAAAAAATTGTAGTTTTGTTTTTGAAAATTTAAAACTATATGGAAATAAAAAATTGTAGTTTTGCTTGTGGAAAGGGTTTCAATTAGTGCAAAATATTTTTATGGGTCCTACACATGTTTTTGAGGATCGATAATCATTTAATATTTATTAGATAGTTGGTTATGAGCTGACAACAGAGGTTGATACCAATTAACCATGTTAAACTATAACCACTTGATTGATGTGATGATATCATTAACTCGTGGTCAGTGCACAATGCCTCACCCAAGTCCACTCGGACTCGGGCGAGTAACTCGACTTGGTCCTACCATAAGTTATGCGTGAAAATTGGGGTACAAAAAAATAAAGAATAAAAAATCCTAAATAAATTCTTAAAAAGGGGCAACCGAGGCCTCTCTCTCTTCGTGGCGGTAGATCCATCCCCGTTTCATATCTCCCTTTCTTTGTAAATGAGGGCCAAATCCAACCACATCTCTCTCTCCGTGTTATTAGTTTCACTTCAGAGTCTTATTCGGTTTGTGATAAAAATGAAGCAATTCGGTGCTTTGGATGATTCAGGGGAAGACTTTGGACTTTTTAAAAAATTTAATATAAAAATAATAATAATAAATATTTTTAAAAAAAGAAAAATGCTTTAGTATAAATATTTATTTGCTTAGGCCAAAGAACACACCCGAATTTAGCTGAAATGGCAAAAGTTTAGCCTAAAATCCAAAACTTCGCTTTGGTCTAGCCTAAAATCCAAAAGTTTTCAACCGAAGTGAAGTGAATTTGACAACACTTTTCTCTCTATCTCTCATGGATTTTCACTGTCCTTTCTTCAATTATTTGTTCGCCCCTGCAATTATTGGATGGGAGAGAGAGAGAGAAAGAGAGATGTTAGATATGTGAATCCATTGCTTCCTGTTTTTTAGGGAACCATACATTATGTATTTTGAGTCAATATCATCTCCTATATTGTAGAAGAGATAATATGTTAAGATAAGTCATTTGTATGTTTTGGTTTAAGCCAAAATAGATTCTATCTTGTAGACTACCT